AGGAAAAAAAAAAAAAAAAAAAAAAAACAGCCAACTTTCTCGTACATACTGCCACAACCTGCCGTGCCTGTCGCGCATCCTTCATAAACTTCATCCATTTTATGGTTGCCCCTTGGATTTATTTCCGAAGGATCTCGCTGCATGTTGTGAATTCCACTCTCACCATGTTACGAGGAAGAACTGCCCCTGGTGAAACTCCTTTTTTCCGCCTGACCGGTAGGAAGTTTTAGCGGAAAGGGAAAGAGAGAAAAAAAAGGCAGATTATAATACAACGAACTGGTGCAAAAGCGAAATGCAGGAGTGAAGCCCTTGGGGGGGCTCTTTTCTAACTGAGGCATGGTCAGCAGCACAACAGGGGAGCTGAAGGACATGTGCACGTTCATGTACTCATGCACGAGTGTGTGGGACCAGGCAGCTCTGTGGCACAAAGCCGAGCACTTTCAAGGGGAACCGCCCCCCCCCCCCCGTCACACCAGCCAAGTTAACCCGTGAGAGAAGAGAACGCCTTTAAAAAAAAAAAAAATGGTTGGGAAGGGCTACTGTTGGAACGCCGCTATCTGCCTGTGCTGCCTCGTTCTAGTGTCCATATGCAGTGGCGTCAAAGTGAGCAGGTACCAATATGGTAGACCCCCGAAGAGAAATTGCCTCATGGACATTTCAGCCAGTGGGATACCGCACAGGCTACCCAAGGGGGGGAAGGGAGAGCCAATCAAAGGGTACAGCAGTACAGATAAGTGTATCCCAGGGGATAAAGTCAACTTTGCCAATCAGGACAAGCCCGAAGGTACGTGTCCCCCTGCCGGTCTCTGGAATATCCTAATCAGCTGCTACGACCAGTGGGACGCCTTCCGCAACAGCTTCCTCCTGACTGTGGACGAAAATCAGTGTGTGCGAGACATTAAGCAGCAGATTGAAAGGACATATGGAATCCCCACCTCCTTTCAACAAATTTTGTACCAAGGAAAATCGCTTAATGATAATGTAGTGATTAAAAAATTAACCAAAGGTATAAAAATTCACCTGTTAAATTTAACCCTCGTAACGATGTTGCCACATATCTTTCCCTCACGTGAAGAGAACTCAACCAATGAATTGGAAAAAAAAAAAAAAAAAAAAAAAAAAAAAAA